CCCAAAAAAAAAAAAAAAATTTACATGCAGGCAAAAAGAATCTTATTACAGTTAAATGTTAATGTGCGTAGTAGATTGGTGAGAACAAATAGGTTGTTATTTTAGTGGAAGGTTCGTTTCTAAGAATCAAAAGCTTTTCCAATATGTCCAAAGATACTTTTAAACTTACCAAAAGAAATTGGGAAACTGAACGGGCACTATAAAAGCTGATGTTAGATAACTTGTTTGCGATAAACATCAATCAATTACATCGTTCGGAGAAAATCACTTTCAAGGAAAATATTTCTGAAAAATGTGGTGCATTGGAAAATCATTTTCTGTATTATCTTACAATATTTAACCAGAAACTAGGTTACATACGAAAATCATACGAATTGGAGTATAAGATATCGGAATTGTGTAGTAAAATAATACCTAAATATTAGTTAAAGCAAGTGACAAAATGTAAGAGTTGAGAAACTTATAAAAGAATATTAAAGGACTTCTATCCATAAGTGACCGTAGTTCTTCACTTAACCCTCTCTTGGTGAAAAAACTTTTCGCGAAAACATTTTCTTAACCGTTCAAGGTAGCCAAAAACAGAGAAAGACTATATGAATGACAACTTCCAGTGGAGAAAACATTATACAAGACACACAATCCTAAGTCGTAGTTGTCATGGGCAACTTGTAGGAAAATTGTATATGATTTTATGTTTATGAATTATCTTAGAGAACCATATAGTTACATACACCCCTAAGTCCTAACTAGATGAACTAGGATTTTAAGTTTATGTGTTTTGCATTTTAGAAAAGACAGCTTACTGTATTTGAATAAATTATTTATACACATAAAATAGATCTTTTAATATAATTAGACGATCTAAGCCAAATTACTGGTTATGCTGAATCCTAAAGCGGATCCGTAGCTCTAAACAAGGTGCTATTTTGCAGAACAATAATCCAAATTAAAACCTATTGCGTTTTGTCAAGATCAACCACAGTATTTTGTCCAGTGATCACAAAATGCCTATATCAAGGCGAGAAGCCATCGTTTCCTTTATGCCTATACTCCTTTTAACAAAAACAAATTACCAGGCTCCCATCTTAAAAGAGAGCCTCCCATTATAAAAGAAGAACATTTACACGTAAAACGATACAATTGAATTTATACGTGGTTTGTAGACAATTAATTTGACCCTGAAATAATAAAATAATTGAAGAATTATGCAATACTTAGCCTTGAGATGGAGACGAAATAACAAAAACAGCAGTTCCGGGAGCAGGGTCTCCGGGCATAATAGCAATGAAATCGAAAAGTAAGAAGATAAGATTGTATTAAACTTTGAATAGAATGTAGCATAAGTTTTTCAGAAAATTCGTGTCCTTTACGATGATAACTGAGCTCACTATTTATAGCTACGTCTAGGGAAGGATGTCCTAGGACCGTGCCCCTTTTTAATGTCAATTATGAGGGTCATTGATGAATATTAACGGTGAACATAAATGTCATATTCCCTGTAACTGGCAATCGTTCTTAATGCCACGAAATATTCTCTATTAAATGCTACCGGACGGAGAGTATTTATCACATCTTTATGAGCGTTATTCTTTCCGGTGACAAATAGAACAGTTGCCTTCGGTGTTGGCCGTCCCCCCATCTTGGGTTCCACATGTCCCTCTTTTGGGCGGCCACATGTCATAGCATATTTTACCCTATACAGAGAGTCCCCCTACTTTCCGGTGACACAAGTTTGTGTTACCGGGAAGTTGGTAGAAATACTCTTTTGGCGGGAATTACTATATCTTCCTCTGAAGGCTTCTGACGGTTGATTAGACGCACGTCTCTCTGCATTTAATGCCCTAAACACGCGTCATCCCACGATTCAACACAACTTTTATCAATTATCGAGGTAATCATGGCCATGAATTTAGCCGCCAAAACTTTTACTTATACGCATCAACCTTCTCCCATATACTCCATAATTTTACAAACTTCCCTTATGCGACTTGCATCATGCTCTACATCTTTTCTCTAATTCTCTTCAAGCTAATACTTTTCCTTCTTCCATACAATGGCTTCTTCCTCAAAGCGTACCAGATTTTCAAAGAACAAGAACAAGGCTGAGGATTCTGCTCCTCCAACAGTGGGCTCCATCATCCCTAGAAGTCTTGTTACCACAAAATACTTCGAAGATAAATTTCCTACTACTAACTCTCGTACATGGGCCGTCAGTAGGTATCCTTCTTCCATCCGTCCTTCTAGCATTCATGCTGTGAAGGAAGACTGTTACTGTCACGATTTGGATATTATTGCTCCTGAT